CGCCAATTTTGTCCACTGCGCATGCACTGCAGTGCTAACTTGGGGCAAATGGGGCCGGGGCAGCCCAACTTATAGTCTGTGTTTGTATCCAACTTCGGTTGAAAAAAATATCATACGGACAGCATTATTTATACGACAAGCTAGGGAAACCCCACTTGATAAAGGCTACAATCATGGCTTGGATCTGGAGGATTATTTTCAAAGGTAAAGTCAGACATTTCAACGGGGGAACTACAAAATCGAATCTACGGCAAATGGCAAAATCGTCGAATAGAATATTGAAATCGCCGTATGGAAACTGGTGACATTGCCAACTTACTGAATGATGAAATTGCCAGATAAAACAGTGAAAATGACGAGTTGAATGATGAAATTGGCGAAGTGAATGTCGAAATTGGCACATAATGGTGAAATTTCCATGATAGAATCGCCGAATAATCGCGAAACCGTGGAAAAAAACTGGTGATATCGAGACCGAAGATATAGGGCTACCGACAGCGACATATCCAGCTTTTGGTGGATGGTGGTGGTGAGGGGGAGGCAATTTCACAGCGAATGTGTCTGTATCTTCGGGCTCGCTGAACATGATTTTGAGGAAACAAATTCCAAAGCCTTAATCACGGTCCCGACGTCGATCCTTGCTTTTATTGCTGGTGTTGTTTCGCAGGGTTTTATCGCTAATATTTGATGAATAATTAAATCGCTTACTTTCCTTCCTGCTCATTTAAGCATTCTTGTAAAAACGACCCCCGCCGCCCCCGCTGGATACGCCACGCGGCCTACCGAAGATATAGCAACGGCGTTCCAGTGCGGCTGAACTAGAGGCCACGGACTACGTTTCAGGAAGGTAAAACCTGATCAGGGGCTTGCTTGGTAACTTTAAAAGGAAAAAAAGGATTATATACATTGATAATCTTGTCTTCAAAAATATATGCGTTTGATGCAATTGTGCACATTTTGTGTTTAGACAAACGTCAGAGGATGTAAACGGGTAAGAAAACCAGATAATGTACTACAGTCCAGAAATGCTTGGTCAATTTTTAATGTTTGAAAAAGTGCACTGTTCAGTTTTTAAAAAAAATGTCAATGAATGAATATAATGTCTTCATACATTGAAGAAGAGTGCAGAGATACACAGAAAGTGATTCTAAGAAAAAGTCATTCCTGGATCCTTTAATTAAAGAAGGTGGTAGCTGGCATTTGCGTTGCGTCAGTACGTGGGCCTATCGTCGATAATTATTCCCTCCACATCTATAGAGAGGCGTGATTTATGGTCTTGGAGGAGGAGGACCCACGTCTGACTCCGTGTTCCTAATTTGAATATGCAGTTTCACCTTGCCGGATGCAGAACACATTCGTCCCGATTCTTTTATATTCTAAGTACACATGTTAATTATTTATCACCACATTGAAATGGATGTTCTACAAATGATGTTCTTTTTTTCCCAAGTAAGTCGCATCTTAATGAACTACTGTCCCATGTAAGTAAAATGAGGGCGCAAATGAAAATAGATAATCAAACACTTGCAAGAGCATGTTGTGAACATTACATATACATAAAATTTAATAGGCCCAGGCAGACATAATTCGATATAGATGGATAAGATTTAAAATATTTAGTCTATTGAAGAAAGGAGTGGTGTGGTCCAAG